TATTACTAATGACAGTGGCTAAGAATTTTACTACAAATTACCCTGGGCAAGAACTTTATTACTAATGACAGTGGCTAAGAATTTTACTACAAATAACACTAGGCAAGAACTTTATTACTAATGACAGTGGCTAAGAATTTTACTACAAATAACACTAGGTAAGAACTTTATTACTAATGACAGTGGCTAAGAATTTTACTACAAATTACCCTGGGCAAGAACTTTATTACTAATGACAGTGGCTAAGAATTTTACTACAAATTACCCTGGGCAAGAACTTTATTACTAATGACAGTGGCTAAGAATTTTACTACAAATAACACTAGGTAAGAACTTTATTACTAATGACAGTGGCTAAGAATTTTACTACAAATAACACTAGGTAAGAACTTTATTACTAATAAGACAGTGGCTAACTAATGACAATTTTACTACAAATTACCCTGGGCAAGAACTTTATTACTAATAATGACAGTGGCTAAGAATTTTACTACAAATAACACTAGGTAAGAACTTTATTACTAATGACAGTGGCTAAGAATTTTACTACAAATAACACTAGGTAAGAACTTTATTACTAATGACAGTGGCTAAGAATTTTACTACAAATAACACTAGGTAAGAACTTTATTACTAATGACAGTGGCTAAGAATTTTACTACAAATTACCCTGGGCAAGAACTTTATTACTAATGACAGTGGCTAAGAATTTTACTATAAATAACACTAGGTAAGAACTTTATTACTAATGACAGTGGCTAAGAATTTTACTACAAATAACACTAGGTAAGAACTTTATTACTAATGACAGTGGCTAAGAATTTTACTACAAATAACACTAGGTAAGAACTTTATTACTAATGACAGTGGCTAAGAATTTTACTACAAATTACCCTGGGCATGAACTTTATTACTAATGACAGTGGCTAAGAATTTTACTACAAATAACACTAGGTAAGAACTTTATTACTAATGACAGTGGCTAAGAATTTTACTACAAATTACCCTGGGCAAGAACTTTATTACTAATGACAGTGGCTAAGAATTTTACTACAAATAACACTAGGTAAGAACTTTATTACTAATGACAGTGGCTAAGAATTTTACTACAAATTACCCTGGGCAAGAACTTTATTACTAATGACAGTGGCTAAGAATTTTACTACAAATAACACTAGGTAAGAACTTTATTACTAATGACAGTGGGTAAGAATTTTACTACAAATTACCCTGGGCAAGAACTTTATTACTAATGACAGTGGCTAAGAATTTTACTACAAATTACCCTGGGCAAGAACTTTATTACTAATGACAGTGGCTAAGAATTTTACTACAAATAACACTAGGTAAGAACTTTATTACTAATGACAGTGGCTAAGAATTTTACTACAAATAACACTAGGTAAGAACTTTATTACTAATGACAGTGGCTAAGAATTTTACTACAAATAACACTAGGTAAGAACTTTATTACTAATGACAGTGGGTAAGAATTTTACTACAAATTACCCTGGGCAAGAACTTTATTACTAATGACAGTGGCTAAGAATTTTACTACAAATTACCCTGGGCAAGAACTTTATTACTAATGACAGTGGCTAAGAATTTTACTACAAATAACACTAGGTAAGAACTTTATTACTAATGACAGTGGCTAAGAATTTTACTACAAATAACACTAGGTAAGAACTTTATTACTAATGACAGTGGCTAAGAATGTTACTACAAATAACACTAGGTAATAACTTTATTACTAATGACAGTGGCTAAGAATTTTACTACAAATTACCCTGGGTAAGAACTTTATTACTAATGACAGTGGCTAAGAATTTTACTACAAATTACCCTGGGCAAGAACTTTATTACTAATGACAGTGGCTAAGAATTTTACTACAAATTACCCTGGGCAAGAACTTTATTACTAATGACAGTGGCTAAGAATTTTACTACAAATAACACTAGGTAAGAACTTTATTACTAATGACACTTAGTAAGAATTTTACTACTAATGACATTTGGGTAGAATTTTACTACAAATGATACTGGGCAAGAATTTCACTACAAATGATACTGGCCAAGAACTTTATTACTTATGATACTGGGCAAGAATTTCAGGTCAAATGAAATTGGAATAGAATTTTACTACAAATGTTACTGGGTATAAACTTTAAAATTACACCGAGCAAGAACTGAACTGACATGGGGTAAAACACTAAATACATGTATTTCATAAGATTTAAAACATTGATTGTCATGATTCAAGTCAATTCTTGAAAAAAGAAGAAGGGCAACAATATGTAAATCTATTGCTTCATTAAAGATCAAAAACATATTGTGCTATCCTACTACTGGTGCTGTAATTGGCAGAATACACATGCCACACAAATCTACTGCATTAAGCAGCGACTCATTCTAGTTGCTCTATGGGTGCAGAGAGCTAAAGTGATCATAACCCTGGAAACATGTCATGGCAAAAATAGAAGGTTCAATGTGCATCCTTGTGGATGAGATGAGAAGACGAGTTCGATCATTTAATGTCTATCAAACAAATATTGTGGTCACATAACAGTATGTTTATATTGGCTAAAGTTGGGGGTCACCACTTCATAATCTTCAAAAGAGTGTATCAATGTGTGATTGGTCAATTTTTTCTCCTGAAACCCCCTCTCCACCAATCAAGGTATTTCGCTTATGCCATCAATTTTGCCAGGAAAGGTTCAAGAGTGTAGAGAGTGATAGTGAGTATAACCCATGAAGTATTGAGTATGGCAGCGACTGAAAATAGCTGTATTTTAGCATGTGTACTGATTCACTGAAGTTACACTCTAAATTACTTTAGATAGAGTCAAGTGTAGAAAGAACCAATTTTGTTTGTTTGGTAAACTTTTTTTAGGAAACATCATAAAACTGCTACTGCATACATTGAAATTTGGAATTATATCTTTGTGCAAAGCAATTGTTTTGGCATATATACTTTATGGTCTACATCAGCATACATCAACATCAGGAAACAGTCTTAACACAGGCTGTCAAAGTTTCAATGAATGTTGCAGAAAGAAAAAAAACATGGTCAGTAACTTAAAATATCAGCTGCATTTGATTAACCAAAGATTCCCCACATTTGTCTTTCTTCACTTTTGCAAAATACAGCTTACATTTAATAAGACCATGCATTCTCTATACATGTAATGTTCCATTAGCAGTGTACTATGGTATCTGCAATGTCTTAGGACATGTGTAATTAGAAGTGCAGTATATGTGTTATTGATTCCTGTTTCGCCCTTATAATAAAAGAATTTACAGAAACTTATACAGCAAACATAGTAATATACAGACACATGCCAAAACATCTGTTTGTATTTCTTATTGGATACAGATACAGACAATAGACCCAGATCCAGACTGACACACATCCTTCTTTCCTAGCTATGGGTATTTTTCCATATCAAGCCCTTCATTCCTCAACAGAAACCAATGAAAGAACAAAATCACCTTCAAAGCAAGACACCCCATAACCCACTTAAGACCCACAAGATCATTAATGGTCTAAGGGAAATAACTCTTCCTTGTTCATTCAAACATATTTTTATTGATAAACAAACAAAAGGTTTAGACACAAGCTTCCTTGTTGACACTGCCTATTTACATAAAGTTAATACAATATTATGCAATCAGACAAGGTCAAGTCCAATAATTTCAAATGAGTTAAGGTTTTGTATTCTTCTATAAAAAATTCTTTTCAAATAAGATTGAAATGCATTGTTTAGAAATTACAGGAAATATCTATTACAGCATTCCTTAGATTTACGTAAAAAAAAAAGGCAACACATTCATTCCCAGGGATGTCTTATTTATATATTTATATTTTTTGAAAAAATATTATTTCAGATAATTAGTAATGAGTAAACATTTTGCTTTTCAACAGAAGACAACTAATTTTTTCATTTTTATTAACTTCAATGTTCACTACACAAGACAGCTCCAGTAAAAGCTTTTTCAAAATTTAATACATTTCTTGACTTCCAGGACCAAAAATGTTTTATCTTCACTTCATTATACAAATAACAAGAGGCCCATGAGCTTTCATGGTCATCTGAGGTCTTCAGGTCTTTGGACAGGTTTAGAACCAGTCCATCAATCCCAGCATTGGGGCAGACAGAACAGAATTGATATATGCATACTTACAAAGTTTTTATTATCTTTGAGTTTAAAAGCTTCATTTTATCATATTTGACCCCTGTGAGTATGTGAATGAAGGTCAAGGTCATTCATTTGAACAAACGTGGTAGCCATTCATCCAAGCATGCTACTGGCCCAATATTATGAATCTGGGTCATTGTGATATTATTGTGAAGAAGTCATTTACAGATTTTAACACATTAGATCACTGTGACCTTGAAAGTAGGTCAAGGTAATTCAGTTAAACAAACTTGCAGCCCTTCATCCAAGCATGCTACTGGCCCAATATCATGACCCTTGGCCTTTTAGTGATTGACAAGAGTTTGAAAAGTAAATTGTTTACAACAGACAACGCCAGACAAAAGACGATCGCAATAGGTCACTTGAGACTTTGTCTCAGGTAACCTAAAAGACAATTCAGTAAATTACATTTCCCCTCCAACACACTGACTAAGAAGGTGAACCCTTAAACCAAGTATGAATCTAAGCTCCATTTAGCAGAAGCATAGATGATATAGCCCGAAAAAGATAGCATAACGAAGAAACGAAGAATAGAAGGATAGAGAGACAAAAGGACATACATATTGGACAGACTGGTGACGGTGTGGGATCAATAACAATTTTAAACTCCACCTCCCAACATAACAAACATCCTACTGGTCCTCCCTTACAACTATGTCCCTCTAATATTTCTTCAATTGAAATTGGTAACTTCAACACTAGTATAATTTTTTAAAAGGCAATAAATCAAACAATTTGTGGGTAAATGGTTACATGTACAATTCATCTAGCAAAAGTGATATATCAAAAGGCACACTTACCCATATTAGAGGTATTTTCTTGTAGAAGAGGGTCAAACTTTGTAAACAAAGAGTCTCGTTCTAGGTCTCCCTGCAACAGTCAGTGAGCATTCATGTTATGGTTACAATATATACTGAATGAGAGAATACAATCATGAAAACAAAAACATATCTGAGAGGATTATGTGGATGTGGGAAGGAACAACAACATTTTGGGCCACAGATGTTCAACCACAATTCTAAATTAGTTTGCTGGTTATATCATAAATTTTCAAAAATTTGTAAATACATATGCTTAAATAAGTATAACAAAATTGAATATATCATTTTCTGTCACAGTTGGGTCATATTGTATATCTTTAACACCCCAGAATAAAAAAATACCTAACTTATTTAAATGTAGCTTAACTGACCTGCTAATTTGTCAGTCATTATGCACTTAAGTTTATGTATCATTTACTGAAGATATATCTACCAATGAGACACCAAAAGAATATAAACTAGCTGTAGTATGTAAATAATTATTCGGAGATAAACATCATCCTACCTTGCCTTTACTACCAAATTTTTCCAACATCTCCCAGTCAGCTGTATCTGAGAAAACTGCAACAGAAAGTTTTCACAAATATATAGAAGAAATAAAGGACACTTCTTATACAATTGTAAATAAGACATGACTAAAGGAATATTCTCCTGCAAATTATAAAGTAAAAATTGGAATAAAGATATTAAAGAAGAAATGATGAATGTTGATTTAATCATAAATGCCCTGAAATAATCTTATTTATGTATGACTGGTCATAACTATATTTTAAATACCGACATACTTGCATGAGTTTTTTAATATCATACCTTCATTGGCAGGCACAAAACCTTCATTCTCATCGGAATCTGGCATCTCAGCTGCTCCAAAGTCATGCATAATCTCCAAACTTTGTGCCATTTGATCGGATGTTTCAACATCACCTGACCCACTTCCAGCCTCCTCATTGGTTGTTTGTTGTTTTGAGACATTTCCCTCCATGACAGGTATTGTCTCCCTGACTGACTCATCTTCCTGTGGTAGTGATGGGCTGCTTTCTTTCTTTGGAGCAAAAATTTGAATGTCCTCATCACCCTGTGGTTGAAAAATGTAAGTATATAAATGAATTACATATTCTAAAAATGTCAAATCAAATACCCTCCAAAAAGTTGATGAGAACTTCAGTTGAAATTCATCCATTTCACTGCTTCCTAGAGTATATATCTATGTTCCATAACAGTTCTTGTTTTCCCCATTAACTTTCTAAATGTTTGCTACAAGTACTGTTCCATTTACAATATTTCTTCTTTGATTTTAAATCCCTGATTGAAATCAATATCTAAATGAATTTCTTTTTCTTTTGCAAATTTCAAACGTTTTCCAATAATGAAATAAACACTATCTCCAAAAGTAACATTAGACACACAGAAATACTAATAAACTTAAAATCTCTTCAAACATTAATTAGAATCATGAGATTAAAATTCAAATAAAATTGAATTGTTGTTAGGCTAATATCAAGGTCAAAAGGTCTAAGGGTAGATAACTCACTTGTGCACCAAAGTTCTCTGGAGGTTTAAACTTGGATCTTATCTTCGGTTTTTTTATTCCTTTTTTCCCACCAGGTTTTTTGCTGAAATATGTATGCAAAGAACATATATCATTTGCATATCATAAATGAACAATCGTCTATAGCTTTATGTAAATATAGAAATTATAATAATTGTAACTAGAAAATGTCTGTAAGACATGAATGCCCCCGCCCCCCCCCCCCCTATGTGAAATAATGGTGAAAGGTCCGAAAGAGATGATTTTGTTAATTTGTATGCAACTATGTACAACTTAAGTTTCATACTTAAATTGACAAGTTGATTTAACGTACATGAATTTGGAATTTTGTTCTCTGGAAAAAATGAGGGAGTATATTAGTTCCTTATGCCTTAAAACCCACAAGTACCAAATTATGTAGAAATAAGATGATGTTCCTCTTTTTTGAGTTATCTCCCCCTGGTGGCCATCTTTTTTTTAGAATGCCGAGAAATTCAACACTGCATGAGGTCTTTCCATACTTGACATTTGTATGAAGTTTCATGAAAATTGCCTTCCGAATGAAGTTGTTAGGTGATATATACTGATTTGGGACGCGACAGGATGGGACGGGACGGACGGACATGGGCAACGCTATATGCCCCCGGCCATAAATGGCGGGGGCATAAAAATATGTATTATGAATTAGTTCTAATATGCATGCTCAATTATGTACTTCTTGAACAAGTTTCTTTTATGCTTCAGCAATACATTCAAAACATCAAATTAATGAAAGGTGAAAGGTAAAAATTTATGGTTACTACTTTCACTGTAAATGTTCAAAAAAAAAAGTATATATGCTTTATCACCTTGGAGGCTTCATTTTCGTCTTGTTATCTTTCATGTCGCTATCTGTGGCTTTAGATTCCTCCTTGACCTTTGTGACCTTACTATCCCCCTCATCAGCTGCAGAAAGGCCTTGTTGCTCTGTACATGTAGTTGGTGGTTGAGGCTCCTCAGGTGAGCAAGGAATTTTGTTATCTTGTTTTGAGATATCTGGTGTTGGTTCAAAAGGATCTGAGGAAATTTCCTCTAACACTGGGTTAGGATTTGTTTGTAACTCTAGCTGTGTTGGAGGAGGAGAAGATGACAATTTGTTCTTACTTTTAAATGGATCTTCAATATCATAAATATTATTGTTTGAATTTGTAGGGGGGGAGTGGCCCATTTTTGATACCGTTTGGAAAGGATTAACATTTCCGCCAATTGGTGGGGACTGTCCTAGAACTGTTTTAGTCTGAAATGGATTTGTGTTTTCATCAATTTCATCAAAGTTTAAGTTATAGGAACCCCTAGGTATGGGGATTGGAGAGTGCCTGTCTTCTTCCATTGTTAAATCATATACATGAACTCTGTCCAAAGTTCAGGGATTCCGTTCACCGATACCTACAACATACAGTATGACAAAATTCAAACAAAAAATGAATATCATAATCCAAGAGTCACTGTCATCACCAGACATGCCAATCATATTAATTTGATCAATTTCATTGCATCTCAGGCTAGAATGCAGCTCATCCATAAGCTACATCCACCTTCAAAGGCTAAATTGCATTTATAAAACTGAAGCAGAGAGAGAATGTTTGGATCTACGAAAGTAAGTAAAACTTTTCAACAAACATTATACCAATTTATTTCAACCACTCTGACAATTTTCTTTTCATGTACTCTCTCTCTCTCTATATATATATATACTACCAAGAGATGAAATGATTTTCAAAATTTGAATGGAAAATCACTAAAGAGATGTATCTCAGATTTTTTTATAAGGCCAATAATTTGCAACTGCTGGATAAAAGATTAGCAGTACAAGAATTTCCTTTTATATTGAAAAATCCTCCCTTGAAACACAGATAGGGATTGTAAATTTTGTGCTAATGAACAGTCAGGATTTCAATGATCATCAATTTATTGTAATCTACTTATAATGAAAGTGTTAAAGCTAAATATGGCTCATATTTTGCAGGGTTATGGATTATATGCTGTTCAAACAAGTATAAAACTGCTGAAGAAAACCAACATAAATAACTGATAATCAATGATCATCCACTCACAGCCCAGTTCTAGAGATCTGATACATGTGCACATGTATGCCTTGAAAACAAAAATCAGTGATGAAGTTGATTTGCTAAGGACAAAAATAAAACTTGCTGATTTTAGGACCAAACTGGACTTGTTCTCTGAAGCTGCTAATTTTTTGCTGGGTACACATCAGTATGATTTATTTTAATAATAAAAAGCTTTGAAAACAGAGAGGGTGTCAGATTGCCATCTTATGTCTTTAAATGCCATGTTGCTCTTTATCAGGAATATTAGTAATGATCACACACTAATTCAGTATATAAGTGCACTGTTTGTATACTAATAAACAATATAAAGAACAAGCATGAAAAAATTATTATTATAAATTATTATTAATGTATTGTAATACATCAACAAACAATTTAACAGGGTTATTGAGTATTGACTGCTAATGAAGACATAATGATGTCTGGAGTTGGGTCAGGTCCAACTACCTTAACATAAATTAATGTTACAGGAAGTCACGGTTCAGATAGTTCATTATTTGCCATTTGACAGTCACTTCTTAAGAAGTGATGAATGACCATACTACAAAAGACCATGTGACATGTATTGTTACATTCCTCTGTAGAGACCCAAGTAAAACATTTCTAAATTTTGGGGGAATATGTATTAATCTATTATTACAAGCTAACTGAATCCATTACTACATCGCTAGAACTACAGAGTATGATATATTGCAACTGCATGTAAGTATAGATTAACAATAGATAAATATTAAACAGGTATAAATAGCATGTTGCATAATATAAGTGTGTTGTAAAAATCAACAGTTAGATGCCAGATGGTCTGTTTGTTTAACCAATCATGTTGATTTTTCATCTGGCATAACATGATTTTTACAACAAACTGCTATTGTTTTCATTGATAATTAACTACTGGTGATGAAAAACAATGTTTCGATGGAACAAACATATATAAATACACCTATTTCAAGCAGTGGCGTGAGCAGCAAAAATAAAATAAAAAATATACTTCTATTGTTTTTCTTCACAATTAATGACGACTGTGTTCGATGATATTCAGACGTCCGTGTCTGTGGTCAGCTTCATTAAACAGTTTTAACAGATGACCAGGACCAATAGTTTTTACTCTACCTATATATTGAACGTAAGGTATAATTCACAACACATCAAACAACAAACCACACTGAAATCCTTAATGGATGGTATACCACGTCATAAATGATAAAGAAACAAACCATATGACAGCCCGCAGCCATCAGTGATTCAGACGATATGTCAAACACCCATCAAAACAAAAGTTTGTGAAAGTTATTTCGGAAATATTTGAAGATCCAATATTAAGTTATTTACATAAACTATATTGCTAGAAATATCTTTACACGTTTAAGAAACTATCTGTTTCAATTGTATACTTAAATTTCAATCTACGTACTCAAATTAACATTTTCCCTCTCGCGGTCCCATCCTCTGCACAATAACAACACGTACTTTTGTCAGAAGAGTTCCAAAAGCAAGGGAAGTAACTACCAATCGTTACAAAACTACTGATTCGTCCAAGGCTGAAATACATGTATAACTGTAGAATCTCAAGGGACCATTATTGTTAAAAATCATTGATCATAACGAAAGTATTTTTTTTACTGAAATTCATATCCATACTAAAAAAAACCTGAACAGGATGCCTTATAAACAAGAAAAGTTACAGTGAAGAGTGAATTTCTTTGCGTGTAGAATGAAAATCACTACAGCTCCAGGCTCAGATGATTATATAATAATAATAATAATAATAATAATAATAATGATAAACAAGAGGTCGAAAGCTTGAAACATTTAGATGCAGTTATTTTTGTTGTTGTTTGGTCTCTGTTTTTGTAACAACAATAAAATTAGCGTTCATTTACGCAAAATAAATAAATAAATATCCAGTCCGATCACGTGCTTGGGTTTTCTCCGGATACTCTTGATTCTTCCCACTTCTCTGGATTATTTGCTGGAAAATGAGAGTTTATATTAACTGTCGCGTAAATCATTCTGAACGTTTGAACGTCGTATTTCCAAGGACATATGTGCGTGAAATTCCAATTATGATTGTTTAAAGTTAGTTTAAACGATATTGTATTCAATAAGTAGCATTTAAACACAGACAGGTACATTAATCTTATGGGACTGGAAAACAAGCTTAAAGCTTATATCAATTCCTTTCCCATGTACATACAAAGACAAATATAAATCGGAACTGGAACACCTAACATCGACATTGGACGAAAAAGTAACATTTACATATAACAATAATATCTATAAACTTACGCACATGTGGTGGATAGAATTACAAAATGTAATTTCTAACTTAAGTAGTGGCACCTTAATTCATTGGTATGTAAAACAGGTTACCTTACAAAGCTGCTTTACATGATGTCTATGAACTAAAGGACCAAAAACATTAGGTAAAACGTTTACTTAGCTTCATACTGCAGAATTCAATAATGATTTTTTTTTATAAAACTGAGTCCTGCAATTAATTAACAGTAAAATGTTTGAATCTCTAGTATTATGTCTATGGGTATGCAAATTTTGAAACCAATATTAAAATAGTGAGAAATAATTACATTGTCATTTTGAATTAGATTTTCGCAAATATGATTGGAGAATTCCACAAATGTTTTCAATAATGATTTTTTTTTGAAAAAGTTGCAATTAATGATTTTCTCTAGTATTATGTCTTTTACTTGGAATTAGAAGTTTTCCCCAACCCACATCTTTGTACAATTAACTAATACTTGACAATTTAGTAACACTGTAACTATTCTTGCAGCTTCTATTTGGATGTTTTCTAAATTTTGACATAAATAATTTGGTAAAATATCCCAAACTACGTCAGAATATTCCAAAATAGGTCTGATAAAAGCAAAATATATTGTTTGGAGAGAACTCCTATCTAATATGTTTTTTAAATTTCTTAAAACCGCTAGTCTTGGAGACACTTTCTTCAATATGTAATCAATATGGTTTTTCCATGTACCATCAACAGACATTAATACCCCTAAATGCTTATGAGTTTTTTCATAAGATACATTGACATTTTCCATAATGATAGGATCATAAATTCCTGGTATAGTTTTTCGGCTAATTAAGAAAGATTCTGTCTTGTCTGGATTAATTTTTATTAACCACTTATTTGCCCATACATGCATTTTTGAAAGATCATTGTTGATGGTATTAATAGCAATCTTGGGATTTTCAACTATGATATATAAGGCTGTGTCATCAGCAATTAATCTTATTTTACAATTTATATCATTCCATATATCATTAATATATGTACTAGAAAGAAGAGAGGACCTAATATTGAACCTTGAGGTACACCTGCTTTGATATTTTGGCTCTCAGAAAAAAGACCATTTATAACAACCCTTTGACTTCTGTCAGTTAAAGAATTTTTGCACCAAGATAGTAGTTTACCAGAAACGCCAGATTTTTCCAATTTATGTATAAGACCCCTGCGCCAAACCCTATCAAACGTTTTACTTATGTCACAGAATACGGCAATGATTTCTTTACCCGCGTCTAAAGCCCTTCCAATATCATTTGTAATATCTAGTAATTGATTTGTTGCAGAATCCCCAGGTGTGAAGCATGATTGACAATTTGTAAAAAAAATGTATTATTATTGTCTTTATTTCCTCCAAAGATGAAGAGCATTACATACAAATTACAAAATAAATCAACTTGAAAAGCATACAATTGTTAAGTGTATATAATACAGAAGGCCTCCTGGCGCACTATACATAGCCATATTGTTCAAGCATCCTTTTTATAGAACATGCTGACTTCAGTCTAAATTGTTCAAAATCATGTTTGTCTAACTGATAGGCCAGAGGACCTCCTAGTAAAATGTGAAGCAATATATACTCTGGCAACGATTGTAAGTATGAAATAAATTCAATACTCGTCACGTACAATTTCTGTTAATGAACAATGTAGAATTGCATGATTTATAATATCTGTATAAAAATATCCACAAAAATGACACAAAAATGTGTATTTGAGTTTCGTATGGAAACAATAAATTTGATTACATAACGGATATTATCGAGAGAACTAGGGTGATACAGAGCTAGTTTCCACAAACAGTGTGGTTTTAAACAATCGTGCAGTAGTTTAAATCTTGAAAAATCTGCATTGTTAGACATTCTTTGTAACCATGCATATGTTTCATAGTCTTTTACAGAATTATGAGTCAGTTTCTTCCAATGTGTTTTGTTTGGAAAAGTACCGTCATCCAGTAAAAGTTCGAAATGCTGGAATAAATGATACTTTTTGAGGATTCTGACAATATCTGGTATATAACCATTTTGTACATATTCATTAATTGTATACATAAAACATCTTACAATAAAAATTTTACTTGTCAAATTACTTCTTCTCATTCTACATATTCTACCGAGAAACGAAAGTTTTTTAGTATCTATATATGCTTCTAATGACGTCCACCCAAGTAGAGAGGTACACATATCAGTTCTTGTTATATTATCTAGACCTTGGATTGACTTTACAATAAAACGCTGGGCCCTTTCTAACATCAGTAACTCAGTAGTCGAAAGCAACCACAGTTCGCATCCATAAAGTGCAGAAGGATAAACTTTTAATTTCATAATTTTTGAAACTGTTAATGGGTTTAGAGCACACTGATGGGCGCCTGAGTGTAGAAGGGCCATGGCACCACTTTTTAATTTATTGCATGCAGATTTTGTTCTTTCCATGGAATTATTCTTACAGTTTAATAGAATACCAACGTGTATAATGTCTGCGACAACTGGTAATATACTGTTGTAGAGATAGAAATTTTGACTTATATCTACAATTCTTTTATTTGAAAATACAACAATTTTACTCTTTGATGCTGAATACATAAACCTCCATTTTCGACTATAGGATCCGCAGATGTTTAACATTTTTTGTAGACTCACAATATTGGAACTTACTAAACAGTTAGTTTAATAGTTAAACGGTTGGAATATTGATAGGCATGTCGGTTATTCTTGCCCCCCCAACCAGAATTGTCAACCTCATTTAATAGTTCATTAAGTTCATTAAGTACATTTTGGCAGATAGGGCCCCACCTTGTAAAATTCCTCTCTCCATTTTCAGCGGTGTAGAAAATACCTAAAAAAAGCCTGATTGACAATTTGTAAAAAAATGTATCTCTAAAAAAATTGTAAACATGTTTAAAATACACATTTCCATTAGTTTGCCAACGATACTTATCAAAGATATAGGTCTATAGTTTGAAACAATGGATTTATCACCTTTTTAAAAAACTGGCGTAACATTAGCGACTTTCCATACAGAAGGATATATACCACAGTCGATAGATTTATTAAACAATTTAGAAAGGATTGAAATAACAGACCCCGTCTTTGCTTCCTTAATAATTCTTGGACTCATTTTATCAGGACCAGAAGCTTTAGAAATGTCTAACATATTTATTGCATTTTCAACATCTTGTTCAGTGACATCAATATTTTCAAGTTTATTATTAGGAGTAGCTACATGATGTGGTAGTATTATATTAGAGTCGTCGATAGTAGACTGACTTATAAAGTAGTTATCAAAAAGATCAGCTTTTTGTTTACTATCACCACAGTATATATCATTTTGTATCAACGTTGGTATATGAGAGGTTTTGGTTGAAAAATTTGTAAAATTGTTAATTAACTTCCACCAGTCTCGTGTTGATGTAGACATACATTTTATCTTATCGGTTAACTTTAAAATATATTCATTTTTTGCTTTCCTTACAGCATCAATACATTTGTTTCTTGCCTGTCTAAATTTCTGCCAGTGATACGGATTTTGGGTACCTTTAGCTTTTCGGTGTAATCGTTTTCGATCCCTTATTAATTTTCTTATCTCATTATGCATCCATAGTGGTTCATTATGCTTTATTGTTACTGTTTTATTAGGAATACATATTTTAGCAGTATTTAAAATTGTGGAATAAAAAAAAATGGTAAATTCGTCAATTGATAAATTTTAAAATCCAGTCAATATTATTCAATCTATCCCGAAACATTTTATAGTCACCGTTTGTATATAACCATTTATGCCTTTGAATACTTGAATTCAAAGAGTTACGACCAACATCTAAAAATATATAAATAGGACGGTGATATCTAGTCTCAGCAGGTACAAAAGATTCTCCAACAACAACTTCCTTAACAACGCCTGTATCATTTGTCATAAATATGTCTAAAAGAGAGGATGAATTTTCTGTAAAATGAGTAGGTTCATCAACAAGTTGAATAAAATTATATCAATACATTAAATCAATAATACGATAAGGGTTTGTAGCTAATTGATTTTCATTAAAAGCACCTGTTATCAATATACTATCAGATTTGTAATTAGCAACCATATCAATAGAGTTATCAATTAAATTCCAAATTTCATTTCCAGAGTTTGG